CTAATACAGCTACTAAATTAACTAGTATGATTTATACTTGTATAAAAGATATGGTGTGCAAGTCAAAACAGTCAAATGAATGTTTTCGAAATTTTTGGTTTGATAAAGAATGACTAATCATCAAACGCGCAGTCAGTAAAGCGCTTAATCACTATAGTCATACAAAAAGTCAGAACAGTCTTTAATATTACCTTCTATCTAAACAAAAACTCATTAAAGAGAAAAAAGCAAAATTTCAAAAGCTCAGAAGGGACGAACTAATTAACCTGTCCAAACAGAAAACTCTCATAAATTTTAGATGAAAATTAATGTTTCAGAAAATATTACTATGGAGGAATGGTCACATTATTTTACTAATTTGTTTAACCCGGTTCTTGAGAAAAATGAATATTACAATGATTTTTACTCATCAATCAAATATCATAAGATTATAAGACTGATTTAGATATAGAGGATATTGGTATACCTGATGTAGATTTGGAATTAGCAGAATTTAAACAACCAATTACTATGACAGAGGTGAAGAAAAATTTGGACAAACTGAAGGCTAATAAATCACCTGGCCCAGAGTTTTAGAAATTTGCACCTTTAGACATCTGTGATCTGTTGTACATTCTATATAACAAAGTTTTTGATCAAGGGGTGTTTCCTATAGAGTGGAGTAGGGGATTAATTTCCCCAGTGTACAAAAAGGGTTGCAGGGATGACCCAGCAAACCATCGAAGTATAATGCTTTTGAATACTATAAGTAAAGTATACACAAGTATTCTCAGTGATAGGTTAAGTAATTGGTTGAATCGATATAATAAAATAATTGAGGAACAAAGTGGATTTCAAAAAGGTAAATCAACTTTGAATAATATTTTTGTTCTCTATACCCAGTGGCGGATCCAGCAAAATGTATTGGGGGGCCAAGCTTCGCTTAAGATATACGGAGCGAAAATCGCAGAGAAGCTATGCGTAATCCAGATGATATGAACCGTCATGAGTTTGGGGGGGGCATGGCCCCCTGCCCCCTCCCCCTCTGGATCCGCCACTGTCTATACCATTGTAGAAAATTATGTTTATACTCTTGGAGCTAGATTCTATTGTGCCTTTATTGACTATGAAAAGGCATATTATAGTGTACACAATTGTTCATTATTTTATAAGTTGTCAACAATTGGGATTAAGGGGAAACTGTTTAAATAACTTTATTCTATGTATCAAAATATTAAGGCTGCTGTGAAAAATCCAATAGGAGTTACTGAATTTTTCCATATTAATGTTGGGCTGCAGCAGGGTTCTGTTATATCACCTTTACTGTTTTGCTTTTATATAAATGACCTTAAGAGTGCCCTCCAACAAGGACAGGAATCCGTTGTGTATATAAATACTTTAAAACTTTTTTATTTGTTATATCCGGACGATTTGGTGTTGTTCAGCAGCACACCTTTTAGATTACAAAGATTACTTTATAACTTAGTAGATTATTGTCTAAAATGGAGACTTAATATTAATCTGAAGAAATAAAAAATCATTGTTTTCCGAGAAGGGGGTCGTCTGAAAAAATATGAAAAATGTTTTTTTATGAGGGGTAAAGAAATTGAAATTGTAGCAAAATATAGTTATTTAGGCATAGTTTTTTCGAGTTCGGGGAAATGGTTTCAAACACAGAAAGATATCTCGGAGCGAGCTAATAAAGCACTATTTTGTTTGGAAAAAAACATTATGGGGTTGGGGGACTGCAGCCTGATCTTGCATGCAAAGTATTTGACTGTAAAATATTGCCAATTTTGTTATATGGTAGTTGTGTGTGTGGAATGCGGGGTGTAATAGCTGACATAGAAAAAGTACAAAATAAGTTTTGTAAATTTCTATTGAGAGTTAGTTTCAACGCTTCCAATGCTGCAGTAAGGGGTGAATTAGGAAGACACTCAGTTAGAGTTTATGTTAATATTGAAATGGTAAGATTTTGGCTGAAACTGATTCAAGAGGGCGGCTCAGCTATTTTAAAGGAATGTTATAATTATCTATACAATAGGGCAGAAGGGGGGTCTAGGTGTTGGGCTTTAGAGGTAAAAAATATGTTATATACATCTGGTTATGGACATGTATGGTATGAACAAAGAATTGATAATAGCGAGATGTTCTTCAGTGAATTTAAAAGAAGATATATTTGATATATCTAGACAGAATTGGTGTGCAGAAATTAATACAAATGTAAAGCTTCAAACGTATTGCATGTTTAAACAAGATTTAATATGTGAAAGATATCTTGATGCTATTTCGTTGGCTACTCCTATCTATTCATGTGCTATAACTAGACTTAGAATTTCCTGTCATCCCCTAGAAATTGAAAATGGTAGAACATTGCGTATTCCACGTGACCAAAGGTTATGTTCATTTGGTTGTAGGGTCACAGAGGACGAATACCATTTTACTATGGTTTGTCCAAAATATGAAGCACAACATTCTACCAAAATATTATTTTTCACCACCAACCAAGATGAAATTCATTGCATTGCTACAGAGTACTAACTCATATATTTTATTTGGGTAAATATTTGTTTAAATAGAAGTATAATTTGAAGTATTTGTATCTTGTAATTTTAAAGCGACCGTGTGTAATTTAAGTTTTGAAATGTAACAGTACTTTAGGCCGGTAGCCATATAGTGCGGAATAAAGAAATAAAAAAAACTCGTCGTTTGTGCTACGAAAAGTAAAGAAAATGAGCTCTCACTTTGAAAACAGCCAGAATTAACGCGTGCACTTTTCTGATGGGCGTCTTTGAAAGTAGTAACAATGTGACGCATCGACCAATCAACGACGAGTATAAGATCGCATGGTGGCCGAGATATATTCGTAGAAATAGAACTCTGCACAGGAGATTGGGCTAATCTCCTTCCATAGGTCTTTGTGCTTTGCGTAATGACAAGTAACACGTATCGAACTGTTTGGAATTGGAGATTGAGCCTAAGTGTGTCGTTCAGTTGTTTACAAACAAGCGTCTACCCATGAGCCTTTGTGTTTTTAGCCTGCGTTGTTGTCGTCAATCCCGCGCGTGCGCGGGTGAGCACCCCTCCACTTTAAAACGTACAGTTACTAAGATGTGTAGATTCTCCACAGTCCCACTGGCCTAATGTTTGTTTTACAACTAAAATTATTTAATGTAATACGTTTGAGAAATGCCGGAGGCATTCATTTGAGGCCCGTACGTGACCAAGGCACCAAGAACCCAGCTTGCGGGGTGTATCTCCATGGAAACGTCAAATCGCGAGGTTTTTAAATGTCACGCATGTGTTTGTTAATTCGATCGTTCTGTGTCGATGTATCCTGACCACTATCTAATAATCTATCTCCAGAACTTGGCCAATTTCCATTTTTTACCTCAAAGACAGTGCGGAGTCGATGTCATTCCATCTTCGGGATGTACGTCAAAGATCCGATCAAAGATTCTCCAAACATTTCACTCACCAACCTCTGACGAAGGTCCTGCGACTTGCAATTGGTTGGTAATTTCATGACGTTATTCTATCTGTCAATCACCTTGATTAAGGCAAATAATGTAGCTGTTGATCTGCAGCGGCCCGGGAATCGATTATGATTGGTTAATGTTAATGAGCTGCCCCATCTAATCTGAAAGCGCGGTAGTCGTCGCACTGCGCATGTTCGACATTTGTGTTGATAAACGTTGATTTCCCCACAATCCAATGCGCTCTTCAAATGGAAATCACAAGTACGAGGTTTGACCTGGGCGCGACTTGCACTGATTACCGCCGGTTACTCCTTCGATACCTTCCAATCACTTGAAAATTACCTAATTACAACTTGGAAACGTGTCAGTTCGTACTCGTTGATCTGCGCAACAGTCAAAATCGCCATCTTTGTTTATATGAGACCCATATATCTCGCACATGCGCAGCGCGGTGACTACCACGCTTTAATCTTTTTTTTTCTTTACCAGCTTTTTATTCTGAAATTTTAAGTTTTTGGTATGAACTACTAGCATTCTGTCATGGCCCACCCAGTAATTTAAATGAGGTCAGAAATCAGAAATACTGCGGAATAATAGATACATTTTAATTGGTGGAAAACCAGTGTGTTATTTACACTGGCTAAATAATGGGGTAAAATGCATACAACATTTATTAAATACAGATGGTAATTTTATGTCATATGAACAATTTATAGAGAAATACACAATTAAGACAGATTTTGTGACTTTTAATGCTATTCTGCATGCAATTCCAGCTTATTGGAAGTCCAAATTAGTTGCTGGAAATATCAATGCGAATTTAACTAAAAAAATAAATGATACAGTTGTTGGTGGTAAAACAAGAGAGATTAGTTATTAGTTGAAAAACGTTTTGAAACGCCAATATCCATGTCTAAATATAAAGCAACTGTGTATGCGAGTGATACAATTGGTTGGAGATGTATCTGGAAATTGGCGTACAACGGAGAAAAACTGCACATTTTTCAATTTTGGCAACCAACAATTATCTTTTCCAAAATAAAATCCGATTGGACAATCGTTGTAAATATTGTAAACAAAAAGGAACAATTGAACATCTCTTCTGGGAATATACAACCACAATTTCGTTTTGGAAATTATTTCAAAACTATTGGGGGCTATACCAGGAAGTGATAATATTGTTCTAAGCTGTGAACGTATTGTCTTTGGATTCCCCCCAAAAATGTATGCTATTAAACCATCTTATTTTAATAGGTAAATATGTTTTATATATCTGCCGCTTTACAAATGTGACGCCTTCTCTTGATTATTTTATAAAGATTGTCAAAGAAAAGAAATCTATTGAAAAAAAATGTCTTGAACGAAACACAGTGCGTTGGCACGGTTGTTGGAATCATCATTCCCTGTACTAAACTATTTTTGTAATGTTTTGTATGTCGTGTCTGTGACATTTTTACTGTTATGTGAACCATTGCAATTATTATTAGAAAATATTGCGTCTGTTTTAATTATTTAGGCTCCTGCAAACATAGTGTAATTGCGATGACTGACGGTCGATTCGTTCAGCTTTTCACTCTATGTGTGATGTCACTGGTAACATGCCATGCTGAATCACAGCAACTTGGTAAAGGTAAGACATGATTTACATGCAATAACGCTTTCAATAAATCGCGCCCTCTATCGAGGATGCGAGGATTATGTAAAATCTATAAAATATACCACTTTCCCGGAAGTAGCGAGCCTGGGTAGTCTGGTACCCTGTCCCAATTTCAACGCTGAGGGCGGTTAAGAAAGCAATTTTATTCTTGTGACGTCGATTGGTTCATGGTACAGCCGGAAAAACTATATCACGCATGGATGTGTAAATGACCCCCATATCCGGCACGCGCTCGTTAATCTATTACGCCCGTTCATCTGTTGTTAGAAGGCGCTTGTAGAAAGAGTCTGCAACCCACGTGATGTTTTACCTTATTTATTTAGCCCTACTTATATAAGATACGCCATAGTATAGTAGTCTTTGGTGAGTGGTCTGAATCATTCTTGTTATCAGAAGAAAACGTGAACAGTCGCCATTGCTGCAATGGAAACCTTCGTTACATAAATGACATAGAAGCACAGAATACTTTCCATTAAATAATATGTTCAATCCATAAATATGAATATTTAATAGAGAGAAGAGAAACTGTGGAATGTGGTGGGAATTTCTACGGAGAGTACGGAATTATAAAATCACCAAACTATCCAGGAAACTATGCGAACGATTTGGAGTGCAATTATAGCATAAGTGTATCTCATGAAAAAAAATTACAGGTAAGTTAGCTTACTATACTCTATATTATCTAGTCTTCTGAATCGATGCGTATATAAAAAAACATCACGACTCACGGTGACAAACTCCACATATTCGTTCAATTCGTGTTGTTAATGGATCAAATTGTTGTGAATTGTTAATATTTAAAGCGGGGGAATCGTCACCTACGCATGCGTCAAGTGGCCATAGTGTGTTTACAAACAAGCGTCTATCAATGAGCCTTTGCGTTCTTAGCGTGCTATCATCGCTTGGGACTAAATTCCCGCGCATGCGCAGGTGACGGCTCTCCCGCTTTAAACCTACATATATCATTTTTTTCTCCAGTTGGAATTTTCCGATTTTGCAACGGAATCTGATTACGACATGGTCAGTGTCTACGATGAATATGATATACTTCTTGGTACATACTCGGATACATATATACCAGGTCTGATGTCGTCGTCCGGCCCAAGCATGACAGTGTCATTCACAACTGACTCTTCGGTAGTGAATCGTGGGTTTATTGCACGTTACTGGGCAACCGAGATGTTGTTATCCACGCCTGCTACTCTGAGTCCACCTCTGCCACTAACACAGTACTGTGACACAATGGTTCACACTGCTGATATCGGTGTAATTACTTCGCCCAATTATCCTGATGATTATCCTAATGACCAAGACTGCTACTATCGCATCACAATTCGTGATTATGATAAGGTTATAGAGGTAATTAAAAATGTGGGTTGTACGTTCTAAACATGATGTGTAGTGTTCAAGAGGCTCGGTCACACGTGCGTATATTTTGTAGGGTGATGGTCGTCACGCAGTCAACAATTTCACATCAACAAACAATATATTTTACACGCGTTGTTTACGTCGCTATGAATCCTATATCACATAGGACTCGACGTGACGACCACAGCCCTTAAAAGAACACCTTCCGACCTACGGATAATTAATAAGCGCAGCACTAAATCCATATACCGCTGAGGACGTACTTCAAACTGGTGTTATACAAACAACCCTATCAATCAATTTAGATTTTGGTCGACCAAGTAATTAGGGCCATCCTTCCCAGTTACCAGCGCATGCCACGTGACATATTCATACTACTGCAACAATTCCCCGTTATATTATACATTTTTATACAAATAAGCAGAAATAAAGAATGTACCATGTTAACAAAATGAGAATGAAAATGTACTGCATTTATAATGAATGTTCAGTATGATATGGGGTGAGAATACCACCAAAATTACCTCGATCAGTTATTATTTCATTATTTCGTAGTTATGTGTTTATGTCAATACTAATGTAATTACATTGTTTTTGCAATTATTGACTTATTTCGACTTTATTATTCGAATGATGTGTAATATTTTATTTTACTAATGTTGTATCTGTGGTATTGGATCGAACACGACGAGTTACGTGACTACAGGCCTTTAACACTACACCGTTATTTTATACAGGTATAATGAAAGCAAACGATAAAAGTAGCTTAAACATGCAATGTTTGGGGTGTCACTATGGATCAAAACATCTGCTGTATTAAAACATATATATATATATATATATATATATATATATATATATATATATATA